AGAGCGGGCACCCAACAGGCTGGGGAAGGGCCGGGCTGCGGGGGCTCATTAATGGCCTTGGGGGAGGCTCCCGGCAATGAGCCTAATGAGCAGCCCCGGCGGCGGCTAATGACCCTATCGCCTCCTCCCTGCCGCAGTCCCAGGGCGGTGGGCGAGCCGTTACCCTGTGCTTCCCCACCTCCGTGACCAGCTCTGCTTGGGGTGGGAGGCCCCGCGGCCCCCGGGCCTGGGAGGTAGCTGCCACTGAGGAGCCTGGAGGGTTTGGGGAAATGTACAGCTGCTAAGCCCAGTACCTGCGTGACCCTCGTGTCACCGAGCTTGTAAAAGTGCCTGGCAAGCAGGTGTGAAGGTTGGGGCCAGTTGCTCTCTCCTTTCCCACTAATGGGATCCTGCTGCCTCTGGGTTTCTAGGCTGGTGGCACTTCTGACCCTTGCCCACCACTTAGTTTTCCTCCTCCTTGTCTTAGCCAGTGTGGACAGATCTGCAAAGTTCACATTTCTCACTCGGTGTGTGTGTTCAGCTTACTTTATACCATATGCTCAAAGCTGCCTTAAAAATCTTGCTATCGCTGTGGAAGTGGTTACCTTGTTCCTCTTAAGGAGATGCTTGAATCATTTAAGGAGAAGGGGACTTGCTTCCTACTAGTGCATCTTCAGCAACTCAAGATATTTCATACTCTTTTAGTATGATGTTCCCTGTCAATTGAAATTCCTTCTATTTAAGGTTATTATCTAGAAGTAGCACAGAGTGATGTTCAGTTTGCTGACCTGTAATTGTAATGATGGGGGAGAGGAATGGGTTGGCAACTCTGATTGCCATGAAACTATGTTTCTCTCCAAACTTTATTTTCATTGCAGGTCTTTTCTTGGCACCTGTAATCCCAACTTACGTGTTGTCAGGCCCTTCCTATATGTTTTAGGAATAGAGCTAGCAATTTCCTTTCTGATGAAAGAAGGTTCCTGTAGATGGTTTAAAACTCCCGGATGTTGATTAGTCTCTCTGCTGCAGATACAAGGGACATGCACAAGACTTTGAAATGAATTTTGTGATGTAAGCACAGACCAGTATGTGTGTAAAATTAAAAATAAGGAAAAAGGCTTCTCCTGTCAAAACACTAGGCTGAAAATACCCTTCCTTATTTGAGGCAGAGGGTGAGTGACAGAATGAACAACACAAGAAAATACTGGCTTTTTCACATGATTAGGGAGAACAGGATTGGCTTTTTCACCTAAGTAGTGAGAATGGGACTGAAGCAGACTCAGATACAGTGGGGAGGACAGTGGAAAAAGGAATTAGATAGAACATAGCCAGCTTCTGCTTGGCTTAGTTCTTGACCCTCCCAGTCAGGATATTTCATCTCATTTAACAGCAGTGGAAACTCTTACTGCTTAACAAGATTAAATGATTATGGTTACACAGTTTCCTGCTTCTGTCTCTTTCCCATGCAACTAATTGAGCTCTCTTAATCCTGTAAAAAGGTGAATTGGGGTCTCGGAAGCAGCCTGGTGTCTCTTCATACTTCCATGAAGGTTCTGCTTGGCTGACTGGTGTTGTGAGGTTCCTATTTGATTAATAATTGTTTAAGGAGAGAAACATCACGAGGCAGAAAGCAAGCCCTTTATTTTAGTGTTTCAATAATTTATGTCAAAAGCAGGATAGAGTGAAATGAAATGATTTTAGATCTTTTTCCCTCAAATTTAACAGCCGTGTTTCTCTGTAGATGCTTAAAACTGAAATGCTGCCAATAGTGCGCTCAAAGTTTCTTCTTTCCATACAGAGGCAGATACATGATTCTGCTTTTATTATTCTACTCTTAATTCTTAAGAAATAGTCACCTGCTTAAAAAAAAAAGTAACAAAAGTCACACTGACTTACATACATATTCTGAGACAATCAGCACATTTTTAAAATGTGTATCTTAGCTGGGAAAGCATAATGCTTATTTATTACTCTATAATAGTTGCATATTTATTTCATTATTTTCTCTTCTTTCTGACCTGTCTTCTACTATTCAGTCTCTGTTAGTGTGATGCAGTTTCTGCTTTTTGTTAAACTTGATCAGACTTCTTAAACTATTTTTCCCCTTAGCCAGCTATTTCATTTCCCATCTTGTAACCCTATGTTACAAGTGTTGTTGTGTTTGAAGCTGCAGAAAACTACTGTAAGACAGTTCTCAGAAGTCTGTACAGTTCAATTGCATTTTGCTTGGTCAACTCAAGTATGATAGAAATAAATTTCTGTAACCAGAAAGTGATGTCATCTGTCAGATAATAAC